GAGGAAGGAAGGTAGAGGAAGAACAAGAGGATGGGAGGGAAAGAAGGAGAAGGTTGGGAGAGACAGAGACGGAAAGAAAGTGAGGAAGAGAAAGGAAGAGAACAAAAGGATGGGAGGGAAAGAAGGATGGGAGAGAGAGACAGAAAGAGGGAGAGAGAGAGAGAGAGAGAGAAAGGAAGGAAGGAAGGAAGGAAGGAAGGAAGGAAGGAAGAAGGAAAGAAAGAGGAACAACAAAAGAATGGGAGGGAAAGAAGAAAGATGGGAGAAAGACAGTGAGTGGGAGAGAGAAAGAAAGAGGAATAAGAGGATGGGAGGGAAAGAAGGATGGAGAAAAGAGACAGAAGGAAAGAGAGGGAGAGAGAGAGAAAGGAAGAAAGAAAGAGAAACAACAAGAGGACAGGAAAGAACTGGGGACAGGACAAAAGGCAGAACCCAAAAGAGGAGATGAATTCAAAAAACTTGCTAGCACGTTTCATACACTGTACTTAATTTACTGTTGACATTTCCATGTTAGCCTGCATTTTAACTACAAGTAAGTTCCACTTGATGCAAGAGTTCATGCATTTATTCTCACCACACCAGTGAGGAGAAAACAAGGTAAGTAGTTAAAAAAGCCAAAACTTTTGATATTTTCAAGTTTTTCAAAAGCAAAAGGCATCGAGTCACCACTGACCTGGACATAATGGCAAAGACATGTTCTTGGGCAATCTGTCTCCTGGGGTGGGAATTTGCTCCTTCTGTCTCCAATTCAGACCTTCAGGATATTCTTCCTTATTCACAGCGCTGAAGAGCAGAAAATATATTTTGTCTACTCATAAAACATTTCTTGAGAATATGAATTATGATACACCCAGAGGGCTGGGAGGAAAATCCCAGGTCAAGGGTGACAGTGAATGACGTGTCTCAGAATCAGCTCCACAGAGGTCATGCTGGCATGTTCACTCCTAATAAATCCTTTGAAGTTTTTGAAGCTTGGCTTGAGACTCATGATTTAATTGGGGCAATTAACAATATTGTGCAAAAGGTGGAGGAAAACAATACAGCTAACCTTCGACTTACAACAGTTCATTTAGTGACCGACTGAAGTTTTTCAGCACTGAAAAAAATAACTTATTGTTCTGACCCAGGCTTCCTAAACCGTAATTACGCACACAATTATTTTAAAAACAAGACTTATTTCATTGCAATGTTCGGAATTGTTTTCATTCCCAGCAGGAATTAATCTCAAACAGTCCCCCAAGATAAGCACCCACCTTTCAGTTCTGTGAAGTGCTGCCAGAAACAGAAATATTAAATGAACTAGAAAAGAAACCAATTGAAGTACAAAAAAAAAAACACAACCGAAGTACAAAGAGCTTCAAGGATGACTTGGAACCGATCGAACTACTTTGCTTCCTGCATGTGCGCACAGGGCTGCTCGCAGGAGAGAGCAGCTGCAGCAGCATGGGTGACTCAGGAGTAAGGCTGCAAGGTAATGGCCCTTCCTTCAAGAAGATAAAAGCCAGCTGTGAAGCAAACTTTCTTTGCAGGAAGCAAAGACATTTTGAAACTCAGCTTTGTGGACATTACAGTTGGAATTTGAAGACTCTTGTGTTGTGAAATATTTCTTATCTGTGATTCTTGGCAGTCTTGCACAGTTTTGGCAAGGTTTGTGCTTATCAAAGTTAATTAGTTTGCAGAAGCTTTTTAACAAGGAAGTAAGTAAGTAAGTAAGACTCATTAAAAGGTTTCTGTTCTCTTTAGTTATTGCTTGTCTTATTGGAAAAGGGTTTGGGTCAGAACACTCATACATTTTTCTCAGATACGTTTCTTATGAAATTTATTTCATTCTTACGCACCTCGCATTCTCTTCTCGTAGTTGATATTCCATATGTTTTGCATTATCTTGCTCATAGAATAACATCTTCAGTTTCGCGTCTTCGTTTGCCTTCTTATCGTCTTCCGAGTAACTTAGATCAATCAAATTCTACCAAACAAATATATGTTATGAGGTTTACCTCAGAGGGCTGACATCTTTCCCTTAATGAGCTGTGGTTTATATTCCATTATATGTTAAAGAAACAATAAATGTTAAACAAATCTTTAAAGATAAAGAAGGGAGAATTCTGATGGCAGAAGTGACTTTAAATTGAAAACAGGTACTTTTGGTTGCCATATATGCACCAAATAATGGACAAGAAGAATTTTATTTTTAAACAAAGCTCCACATGAAGATCCTTGAAACGGCATATGAAAATATTTGTCTTATAGGAGATTTCAATGCAATAGTTGACACAAAACTGGACTACAGAAGCAGCAACATAAATTTATAAAAACAAGGACTTTACCCAGAACTTTTTTTAAAAAATGACAGAACTATCAATACAAGAGACATGGAGAGGATTGAAGCCAGGGAAAAATCAGTATATATTTTATTCTAATATGGATCATTCATTAACCAACCAACCCATAAAACTAAAATCTGACTGGTCCTGCCCCCATCTATTCTCTGCCTCCCATTGGGTCCCAGCTGATTGGCTGGGTCTCCTTTGATTGCCCTGCACAGGAGAAGGGAGCTGGAAAGCAGGTTAGTGGGGTGGAGAGGCAATGGGGATTTTGCAGTAACCTTTCCCCAGAGTGGGGAAGGAATGGGGATTTTAAAGTATCCGTCCCCTGCCACGCCCACCAAGCTATGCCCACAGAACCAGTAGTATAAAATTTTGAATCCCACCACTGGAGTCAGTCTGTGCTCCCCATCCCCAACAATCTGGGTCCTCATTTTCCTGACCTTGGAAGGATGGATGACTGAGTCAACCTTCAGCCAGTCAGTATCTAACTGCTGGTGTCAACTCATAAAACATTCCTATGCCTGTTTTAGTAGTTACCATTAAAAAGGCGGGGGGGGGGGGGGGGGGAAATCTAGAAGAACCGTGCAGCAGTTTGAAAACGGAAGTACATTCCAACTCTTATCTTTAAAAGATTGCAACGAAAATACCAGGGCTTTTTCACACAAATATATTGAATTGGAGAACGTGATTGATGACACCCAGCCTGTGAAGGTGCTCAATGGGAGAATCTGGTTGATGAGACACTTGGGGTGGGGGGGACGACAGGGTCACAGGGGACTGTAAATTACATATCCCAGAGTTGGCTTCATACAGGTCATGCCAGTATGTCGCCTCTAATAAATCCTCTGAAGTTTTTTGAAGTTTGGCTCGAGAATCATGATTTAATTAGGGCAATTGCTGGAATCCTGACAGCTGGCAGCCAGCAGAGTTAGTCTGCAGTACTGCATTCTAACCACTGCGCCACCATATTCTATAAAGTACCGTCTTATAAAAGCTTATATTTTGGGGGCATCACCCATTTTAGCCTTAAATTCCACTAGAGGACACACCATAGTCCTGTTTCCATCAGTCAGAGAAGATGACGTAGACAGGGGTTCTGCAGAGCTTGAAGCCAGCATGAATGGCACCACAGTATCTTCCAGGATCTTGCGTTCCTAAAGAAGAGAAGATGGTCAAAATTCATGAAAATTCTCAGACATCCAGGTGGCACTGTCTGGAAGCTGAGTCATGATTTATTTTCTTTTTGTTTCACTGATCATCCAAGTAACTTCTTCAATATGATTCGATTTTTTGTAGTATGATTGGCAGGACTGCTAGGTTGTCAGAAGCTGGGACAAAGTAACAGGAGCTCACTCCATTACGCGGCACTGGGGATTTGAACCGCCGAACTGCCGACCTTTCTGATCGACAAGCTCAGCGTCTTAGCCACTGAGCCACTGCATCAAGGACTAGCTGTACATAATTCAAATGTGTTCTGACCAACCTTCTACAAACTAAATTTTAAAAAGGGGAGAAAGAGTTGAAATATTTTGGCTTGTTGAGTTGGAGGCTCATCCCCATCTGTCCACCATCCCACCTCGGGCTTCATACCTCTTCATAATATTTGCGTCCCTCTTCTTCAACTTCCTTCTGCGCCTTTTCCCACTCCTTCTTCAACTTCTCCTGCTCTTTCTGATACTTTTCCTAAGGGAAGAGGAGCAACGCAAACTGTAAACCAGGAATCCCGGCCCAACGTGGTGGAACTGGTATCTCCAGCTTGATCGAGGGAATGGCTCCTACTAGCAAAGGTTTATTTTGACATTTCTTTTTGATTAAAGGTAAAGTAAAGGTTCCCCTCGCACATCTATGCTGGTTGTTTCCGGCTCTAGGGGGTGGTGCTCATCTCCGTCACAAAGCCGAAGAGCCAGCGCTGTCTGAAGACATCTCTGTGGTCATTGTGGCTGGTATGACTAAACGCCTTCAGAGGCACATGAAATGCTGTTACCTTCCCACCAAAGGGCTCCCTATTTTTCTACTTGCATTTTTTACATGCTTTCGAACTGCTAAGTTGGCAGAAGCTGGGACAAGTAACGGGAACTCACTCCATTTTGTGGAGCTAGGGATTCGAACTGCAGAACTGCCGACCTTTCTGATCGATAAGCTCAGTGTCTTAGCCACTGAGCCACTGCGTCCCTCCTCTTTTGGATTAGAGAGGGGAGAAAAACAACTCAGAGCAAGAAACTGGATCTACCTGGAGTAAGCGTTCCTGTTCTTGCTGCCACCGTTCCTGGCGCCTGCGTTCTTCTTCCGGATCCCAAGCCCAGCACGTCGAACACTTCAATAAGTCAATCAAATATACAATTAGATGCAAATAATACAGGCCCGCTGCATGTTTTACCCCCCCCTCCCTCCAAATCTTTCCAACCTAGGTTTGCAAGCCCACTGCTTGGCTGATCCTCCTTCCTGGACAATCGTAATTTCAGTAAGTTTTTGGTAAGGAGAATCCTGATGATTATCTGGTTTCTACAGGGGAGAGCTTCAAAAAACTTAGCAACCGGTTGTCTGCCCCGTTGCTGGGTGGGCAAGGCCATGGTGCGCATGGCCTAGTCAGCCTCCTGCACCACAGTGGGGGGGGGTGGGGCTTTTCATCCTCCTTGGGCTCCGGAGGCTTCCCTTGAGCTTCCGAGAGGGTGAAAAACGGGCTCCCCGGGCTCTAGAGGCTCTTTGGAGCCTCTTCTCTGGCCTTCCGGAGCCTCCAGGAGGCCCATTTTTCACCTTCCCTGAGCCTCCGCATGGGCCCTGCATTTATCTGGGATCCAAAACAGGCCACATGGGGACTCCTGGGAGCAGAATGGGTGAGTGAAGGGGGGAGGATAGACGGGATGCTTTTGTGCAAGGGGCAGGTGCGTGTACATGCGAGCCTCCATTGCTTGCATGAGTGGGGCCCCGAGCCCCCGCAATGTTCGCAGAGTAGGGCAGTAAGCCCTGCAACACTCTGGTAAGTGGGGTTATATTTGCGCACACATACATGTGCACCAGCCGGGCACTCACGCGCCCTGGTTGTGAATAGGCCGTGGTAGTGGGCTGTGGTCCATAAGTTGGGGGACCCCTGGACTAACTAACTAACAAGTTTGAAGGTACCACAAGTTCAGCCCTGGTCATACACGTGATATCTGATCAAAAATCAATAACTTAAAAATCTGTCAAGAGCAATGTTCAAATGCTCCTGATCAGGCCCTGAGCAGCTTAAGACAGTTCAAGAAGTGTCAACTCATAAAATAATTCTATGGTCTTTTTAGAGTTGCCAACAGAAAGGGAGGGAGGAGCACTGCAACAGCTTGCAAACTGAAAGTGCATTCCACAAATGTTTTCAAAGATAGTAACTAGGCGACCGAAGTTTCCGCCGCACAAAATTCTAACTGGAGAGCATGATTGATGACTCTGGGCTATGGATGTGTCCCATTGGAGAATAGGAATTATGATACACCCAGGGGGTGGGGGAGAAAACCAGGGTCAAGGGTGACAATGAATTACGTATCTCAGAGTCAGCTGCACCCAGGCAGTGCTGGACATGTTAACTCCCAATAAATCCTTTTGAAGTTTTGGAAATTTGGCTTGAGACTCATGATTTAAATGGGGTTAAGTGCCGGAATCCTGACATCAAGATTTCAAATAGGATCAACTTACGTTTGTTGGGTCCCTGTTCTCGGTGGCGGCGGCTGCCACAGAAAGGAAAAAACAGCTAAAATTAAAACTTTTAAAACGGTTCAAATGTTTTTTAAATACTTTTTTTTTACAGTTTCACACCTCTCTCTGAAATCCTTAAAGGGCTTTCAAAACGACAAACTGCTTGAAATGACAAAAATGATAATTGTCAACTCATTAAGGAATGCTTTAATATTAATTAATTAAATTTAATAATATTCATGGTTAAAAAAAGAAGGCTTGTTTGAGAACACCAGGGAAGCCTTGTCTACTCTGATTGTCACTGCTTGCGTACACAAAGAGGAACTGGAGTGCTGGGGTTTCATGCTTGAAGCAGATGTCACTAATGGATGCTGCTAGCCCTGGAAAACATGACGTAATTTACGGTTTTTCAGGACTGGTTTTGGGGGGAACAAAACCAGCACCCCACCCAGAATCAGAATAGAACTGGAAGGGACCTTGGAGATCTTCTAGTCCAGCCCTCTGCTAAAGCAGGAGCCCCTAAACCATTTCAGACAAGTGGCTGTCCAGTCTCTTCTTAAAAACTGTCATGCCCCTGGTGGAGACTGATTCTGAGGGAGAGGAGGAACAGCCAACAGGAAGTGGAAGTGTGCCTCCGGAGGTTGTGGAGGAGGCTGGGGAAGGGCAGAGGCCGGCTGAGCAATCAGAGGAAGACCCTCCATCCTAGGGCACGCAAGGAGGAGAGGATAAGGGAGAGACATGAATGGTGTAGTCTATGGGGGAGGAAAGGGCCTTGATCCCCTTCATGGGCTGCAGCTGTGAGAACTGGTTAAAAGGACGGACATGCATATGGGCCCGTGCTGGAAACAAAGCGTGGAAATATCTCTAGTCTGTCATTCCTCTCTGAGTTTAGCGTTCTTCCCTGTGTGTGTTCCAATATCTGTGGACGTCTTCAAGCCCTTACCTTGCCTGGTTCCCTTAATTGCTTCAGTGTGGTTTGTGTTGTTTTTACTCTTTATAATTTATAGGCATTTTTAGTTTAAACGGCATTTCTTCCTTTTCATAATTGCTCGTGGGGGAGGTTTTTTTGTCTCCAATCAAGGATATTTGGAGCTTTGAAGCAAAGTGAAGGAATAAAAGGGGCTTCACCTGTTTTTGTGATTATGTTTATTTTGTATCCCACCCTGGGTCATCACAAAAACCTCCAGTGATGAAACACTTACTACTTCTGAAGGCAAAACTGTTTCCACTGGTTAACCGTCCTCACTTTTAGGAAGTTTCGTCTCAATTCCAGATTGCTTCTCTCCTGCATTAGTTTCCGCCCATTGCTTCTTGTCCCGCCCTCAGATGCTTTGGAGAATAAACCGACTTCCTCTTCTTTGGGGCAGCCCCTCAAATACTGGCATACTGCTATCATGTTCCCCTGTCCTTCTTTTCTCTAGACTGGCCAAACCCAAATCCTTCACCCGTTCTTCGTATGTTTTAGTCTCCAGGCCTTTGATCATCTTAGTTGTTCTTTTCTGCTCTTTTTCCAAAGTCTCAACATCTTTTTTGTAATGTGGTGACCATAACTGGATGTGGTATTCCAGGTACAGCCTTACTTAAGGCTTTATAAAATGGTAATAATACTTCACGTGATTTTATGCCTCTGTTTATGCTACCAAGTATCGTATTAGCCATTTTGGCTGCTGCCACCCACAGCTGGCTCATGTTTAAGTGATCATCCACTAGGACTCCAAGGTCCCTCTCACAGTTGCTATTTTTGAGCCCGGTTTCACCTCATCTGTACTTTGCTCCTTTGGTTTTTCCTGCCCAGGTGTAAAACCTTGCTTTTCTTCATGAACTAAAAATGGCAGATTTGTTGATTCCTAGCTAGGAAATTTACCTTTTTGATCTTGTAGGGGAGGGTCCTGCAAAACCCCTTGGCTTGTCTCCGGGAACTTCCTCAGAAGAGAAAAAGGTAGGTCTTCACCTTGTTTTAGAGCCTCCAAGGTCTCTATCTGAACCTGGACCAATTCGTAAAGAACATCATTAGCACATCAACAAAGTAGTATAACTCTTCTGAAGTTGCTCAGACCAGGAAACAGAAGACCAGAGCTATGTTTTATTGAGAATAGGTTATACCGTGTTTCCCCAAAAATAAGACCCTGTCTTTTATATATATATATATAAAAAGGCACTGGGTCTTATTTTTGGAGGACGTCATCCTCTCGGGAACTTCTGCGGCTGGCAAGGCTTGCCTGAAGGCCTCTGACACCGATAACAGCTCTGGATCAATCCAGAGCTTTGTTATCAGCGACAGAAGCCTTCAGGAAAGCCTTGTCAGCGTTGATGGTTGCAAAAGAAATGGGACGACAAGGCAGGTGTCAGGGTGTGTGAGGCCTGGCTACAACCGCCCAAAGGTAAGTAGTAGAGCAGCTCCACCTCCTCATCCCCACCCTAGCTTAATTTTTACCTTTTGACTAACCGGAGCTTCTGTACCCTTATGTTCTCCTCTTTCAAGGGTTTCTGCTTCTTGAGTTGAATTCAGCTCAGGGTGTGACTCTGTTTCGTTGGAATGATTGTGGAAGGAAGACCTCTCCAGGCTGGCCGGCAGGAGGTTGGCACAGGAAAACAACATGCTGGATTCTGTGTGGGCTGGATCTATGCCATTAAAAAGACAAAGATTAAAAAAAATAATTGCATTTGGCCAAATCGTATGTATGTATGTAGGTGTGTATGTATGTATGTAATTCAGCTTTGTTCGGGTATTTTCCCATATCATTGTAGTTGTGCTTTTAAAGTTGCAGCAACGTTTCGGCAGAATCTCATCTGCCATCATCAGGCTTCTGTATTGTGTTCGTCTGTGAGTCAGACTTTCACAGTCGTTTCTGTTTTAAATTTGGTGCTAGCCATCTGCTGTGCCAGAATGTTTTTTTCTTCATCCTGATTGGTTGGGAGTCTTGGTCTGTGTTTATTGGTCTTGGAGTTTGGTGTTTTCCACTTGATTGGTGTTTCTAATATCTTCTGTCTGTTTTGTGGCTCTTTTTGTATCTTGATTGGCTGGCAACATTGTGTTTCCTGTATTGAAGCCTTTTAGTGAGGCTTGGCTTTGAGTAAATGGACGGCTATCATTTATTAGGAAGCTAGGTTTCATTTGGGTGCCTGGTTGGGGTGTGTTTGAGCTGGAGGTATCAACAAATCTGCCCAGGTGTTTGTGCCCAGGTGTTTGCCTGGCTTGTGGCATGGAGATTTTTTTGTTTTGAGTGCAGGCTTCTCAATCCTACACAAAGAAGGCATACCTCTCAGACCCATAGTCAGCTCCAGAAAAATAAGTACCCGCCCAGATGAACACAAAATGCAGTAAAAGAGCTGGAACACACTTCTTCACTAGTCCAACACATGGAAGCCACAGGTCATAGCATCGACTTCAATGGCACCAAAACCCTAGCCACTATAGAAAACCCCAGCCACAGAATTATCAGAGAAGCCATAGAGATTGAAAAAAGACCTGAAAGCATGAATAGAAGAGGGGATTCCACCAGACTGTCAATTATCTGGAAGCCTGCACTCACAAACAAAAAAATCACCACACCACAAGCCAGGCAAACACCTGGGCACAAACAGACCCCCCCCCAATACCTCCAGCTCAAACACACCCCAATAATCCCATATAAATTCACTTAACTTATCAACTTCAGTGATTAATTATTAATTAATACGCAAGAATCTGAACTATCAATGGTCAGAGCAAATCAGAGCCTGGTTGTCATGCCTCTGTTGGAATCTGATTCAGAGGGGGAGTCCAAGCAACTGACTGGGAGTGGGAGTGTGGCTCCGTTGGCTGTGGAACAAACTGGGGAAGGGCAAAGGCTGGCTGGGCAGAGCAGGAGAGAGGTAGAACAAGGGAGAGGGAGTTCAGAGAAAGATCCAGGCCCACCCCCTCTTCATCCTAGGGCCCACAGGGAGGAACAGAGAAGGGAGCAATGTGGGTTGCATGGCTAACGGATGGAGGAAAGGGCCCTGATTCCCTTCATTAGCTGCAGCTGGGAACACAGTGTATAAAAAAGGGCAAGCTGTGTGCAGCAAAGTTGTTGGGAGCAAATTGTGAATTATCTGGTATCGTCGAGGCTTATCTGGGTTCCTGGAATCTTCCCAACTGTGTATGTTTTGAGGGGTTTTCAAGCCTGCAATTCCTTCTCCTGCCCTGTCCAGTTAATTGCTGCAGCGTGGTTTGTGTGGTTTTTTATTTACAGTTTGTGTGTACTTTGTTTTTGGACTGAATTTCCTCCACTTAAAAACTGTTCTTGGGAGAGTTTTTTTCTCCAGTCCAGAAGGTAACCTGGACATTGGGGGCAAAGTTGGAAATAATTAAAGGGACTCTTCTTGCTTATTTGACTGTGTTGCCTTTGTGCCACACCCTGGGTCATCACACCAGTTTGGAGGAGGAGGAGGAGGAGGAGGAGGAGGAGGAGGAGGAGGAGGAGGAGGAGGAGGAGGAGGAGGAGAGGAAGAAGAGGGAAAATTGTCCTTGTTGTTCTCTGAGCTTAGTGGTTGCAGACATTTCATGAACTAACCAGATAACATCATCGGTGCTAGAAGGAAATGGGACGTGCAGAGAGGAGGAGGAGAAGGGTAATGAAACATCTGTAAGAAAGCCACCAAGCTCAGAGGACCTCAAGAACCTCACAGTTCAATCTTGAGCTATTTTGAGGACTGTTTACTATACTTTAAAAGGCCCATTTGCAAGAGCCTACCCAGAAAGGTCTCCTCTAGATCAGTTCTATCTTTTCGGCTGGCTGGTTCAGCTTCTTCCGCGAAGGAGTCCTGCAGAAAACATTGAGTTCATGGTTAAAGCAGAAGCCAAAGGAAATGTATTAAGTTGATTTATTATACTTATATATCCTGCCACAACCAAAAAACTCCCTTACAGTTTGAATGTGCTGTTAGGATTCAGTAACTTGGCCTTTGTTTTTGGAGAAGCAATTTGGGGTCAAGTACGACCATAAAATAACGAAGGTCTAAATGTTTTTTTCAAGGGTTGCTTTGTTCAGCCAAACAGATACAGGTAGTCCTGGACTTACAACAGCTTGTTTAGTGACCGTTCAAAGTTACACTGGAAAAAGTGAATTATGTCCATTTTTTAACCCATTTGACATTGCAATATCCCCATGGTCATGTGATCAAAATTGAGGTGCTTGGCAATTGGTTCCTATTTATGACTGTTGCAGTGTCCTGGAGTCCCCTTTTGCAAACTTCTGAGAAGCCAAGCCAACAGGAAAGCCAGATTTACTTAACAACCTTGTTTCTGTTCTGACCCAAACCCTTTTCCAATAAAACAAACATAAACCAAAAGGAACAGAAACCTTTTAATGATTCTTACAGATCCCCGGTTAAAAGGCTGCTGCAAACTAATTAACTTTGATAAGCAGAAACCTCGCCCAAACTGTGCAAGGCTGCCAAGAATCACAGATAAGAAATATTTCACAACACAAGAGTCTTCAAATACCAACTAAGATACTGCAATGTCCACAAGGCTGAGTTTCAGAACGTCTTTGCTTCCTGCAAAGAACGTCCGATTCACATTTATCTTCTTGAAGGAGGGGCCATTACCTTGCAGCCTTACTCCCGAGTCGCCCATGCTGCTGCAGCTGCTCTTTCCTGTGAGCAATCCTGCGTGCACATGCACTTGGCACAGGCTCCTCGGGAACCTCCTCATCGCTGCTGCCAACCCCCACAATCTCTGAAGGCAGCAGTCCACTCCCTAATGGTCCTGGCCCCTCATCTGAGTCCTCGCTCTTCTCAGCCATCTGCACCTGCTGCCGGCTAACCACAACAGTTACTAACTGAACACCCGTGTTCGGGCAGTGTGTCAAGCCTGAAATTGACATATGTGTAGCCATTATATATTCCTTTTCTTTCTTTCTTTTTGCTGGTTATGGGGGGAAGAGTTTCAGGCTTGCCACATTTCTAAGATGGGAGGAGTAGAGATAGAGTTGTTTAGGCTAGGTGGTTCTTCTTCCCGTGGGAATAAAAGCTGACCTGCTGAGACCTGGAGGTGGAGATTGATGACACCAGGCAATGTTGATTTACTTCTATTGGGGAATGTGACTTTTGGGGGTGGTTTCTAATTTCCAATATTAGGTGGTGTAATTCCAGGTTGTGTCAGATCCAGAATTGCAACAGACTTTGCCAATTTGATGCTTTCCTAAATAAAATGAATTGTTTTGGAAGAAGGGACTTCGCTCTCTTCTTTTTAAATGGATTTCATCCCTTGGGAATCTGACATGGTGATTTGCTTAATAACTGTGGCAAAAAAAGGTTGCAAAATGGGGCCAAGATCACTTAACAAATGTTTTGCTTAGCAACATAAGTTCTGGGCTCAATTGTGGTCATAAGTCGAGGACTACCTGTATTGACTTCAAACAAAAAAAACGAATAGTTATAAGTCAACTACCTATAGGCCTAAGTTTACAAGCAGTTGCAGGAACCATTTATCTCCCCGCCCAGCTAACCCAAGTATCTGGCCCTTACAATTTGCTCTCTGTGTACATTGTCTTCGATTAAGCTCTTCTGAACCAGCTCGGGAGGGGTAGAATCTGTGCTTCCTTCCATAGATCTCCCGTGTGATTCGACCACGTGCTCAGACTTAGTTGAAAGGTTGGGGGAAGGTTCAAACAGAAACGCCGAGCATTCCTTGTCGGGTTCGTCTTCCACTCCGTTGCTCGCTTCTCTGTTCACAGAGATCTTTCCATCTACCTGCATTTCAAAACCCAAAAGCAGAGGAATTAAGGCTCTGAGGCCATTTTGGGTTAGTTCTAATGAGAAGGAAAGTGGTTAGGACTACAAAATTACTCTCTCTATATCTATCTATCCATCCATCCATCATCTATCTCATCTATCATGTCTGTCCTTCCATCCATC